CGACCCTATTTTCCAAAAATTCCCAAACACGAGCAAGGTCTACTCGCCAAGACCACCTTTTCCACTTACCGCGACCCCGACTAGAGACCGGAAAACGTAGATTCGCCTACCGTGCCGCGGCGCTCCTAAATACTCTCCCCCTCGAGCTAACGCAGTTGCCTCCAGCCAGATTTGCCCGTGCTGTAAAAAAGGGGCTTAAGCCTAGCCAGAGTAGCCATAGTAGCTAGCCTCATGACTCTTGGACTATGAAAGGCAAACGAGTCTGTGTGTACATAGTTATGAACGCGGCTTCGTGCGGGTTTCACCAAGTATGTGTGTGTTCGGCGTTCGCGTGTTGTATTTCGTATCCGTAAGTGTGTGCGTTTTCTTGTGTAGGTACCTATTTCTTGTGTTATCTTCAACCAGCTCGGACTCGGAGTGTAATCGCCACGCCGATTGTGGATTGCTCTTGATCGTCAATACATACATACATACATACATACAAAATGGCAACTGTGACCCCTCGTTATGTCCCCGAGGTCATCTCAGGTCACGAACAGAATCTAACAACTTTTCGCATATAACTTCTGGTAGAGACGTGCTAGAGCACTGTAAACGCCTTAGATGTGTTCGGCTCGACGTTGCGGATCGACTGATATGCAACATGACGTTTTCCGGTCAGGTCATGACCTTGACCTGAGGTCAAATTTTCAAGTTGACCTTTCTAGGTAAAATTATAGTTAATTCGACGCGTCTCGACAAGGGGAACACGATGCTGGCAAAAGTAATGTTATGGCTCCTTTGAATCAAAAGTTATTGCCGAAAATAACGCTTTTCGTAAAAACGGCTATTTTTGGAGTTTTTCCCCTCTGGAGGCTAAACCGTTGACCTGAGGTCAAATCTGAGAACATTATTCAGAAAGGTCTGTAAAAGGGCTATCGAATGCGCTTTTCCGCGGCGCTGTAGCTCTATCGGTTTCCGAGATAGCTGTGGGCAGTTTCCAAAATGTTGAAATAGTCAACAACGTTTGGTGACCTCTGGTGACCTGACCTTTGACCTGACCCAAAAAATGACCGAAGTATTTTCGTCCTTATTTTGGACGTTCTTTCGGTTGCCGATAACTGCGTGTCGCTGCGTTGCCCAGGAGCCGAGTTAGAAGGGGTGTGTTCAGACACCCCTCCCCCCGGCCCGGAGCGGAATCTCGGAGCACCGGCCCGGCGCAGGTTAATTGACCTCGGTCCACCTAAGAGTCACAGTTCAGGTCAAAGGTCAAAGGATCACTCCAAAATCAGCGTTTAATTCAAGCAGACTGCATATGACCGAAACATAAAATGACATAAAATGACATAAAATAGGCATAAAATGACAACAATACAAGTAAATGGCCGAAATCAGTACGATTAATCTGTCCAACAAATTTGGCTCACTAATAGGGCATATAAAACACATGGAGAGATCGGACTGTCGAGCTAGGCCAGCGTGCAATAGGTTAGCTTGTAGGCTGGCCCTACTGGCAGAGAGACGTCTTTGGGGTGCAAAAGTCGGCCGTGTATGCCGAACTTTCCCCGAAGGGCCAGGGTGCAGAAAGGCAGTCGCATACGCTGACCTTGCCTGGCCCAGACGACTCCGTGTAGCTCTCAGTGTAATCGTCCTACCCTCAACGCAAGCCCAATAGTCGAGCCACCCGGCCGGCTCCGCTGCACCAGATCGACTGACTCTCTCCCGCCGCGACCCCGACACAGGTCAACTCGGCGCGGCGGCGGGAAGGTCACGTGACAAGCGCGTGATCGCGCGACTCCCGAGCGGGGCGCGGCTCGGCCCGGCCGGTACATGTATACCCTGCCCACACAGTGGGTTCGCAGGGAACACGTGGAATAAAACATAGGGAAATTTGACCTTTTTTGACCTGACATTGACCTGACCTCCACCAGTAAGTGACCTAAACCGTACCTGATTGTCTTATAACCAGTACCATTGAAATGGAAATGTAAAATTGGCCATGAAACATGCATCGCACAACCCTAGTAAAGCTGGGTTCATGTGCAGACCCTTGGTGACCTGACCTGTGACCTGACCTGGTATCATCAGTGACCTCCAATAGCAACATATTTACTAGGCAACTTACGCCCTATCGCTGATTTTCGACAAAATGTGTTTTACTCGATATGTTTTAGCGCATTCCCAAGAAGACCCGTGAACGGCGCAACATTTTATCTTTGACCTGGCCTGTGACGTCATCGGTTACCCCAAGGTCAATGAAATTGGAGTTTCCTCAACAAATTTGACAGTGCTATCGAACGCCGTTTGAATTTTACGGATCCGCCCAGTAGTTTCGGAGATACGAGGGGGGGGGGGTGGCAAAAATGCCCCCCCACCGCGCGGAAGGTCTGCCTAAATAATGATACCCGGGGTGCCGTTGCCTACCTACCCCCCTCCCCCCGCTCCACCGACTATGGCTGGATTTCTGCACCTATGCACCCACAATGTTCCATCCGTTCCTACGCCCATGAGTACCAACACGTTAGAAAACTTGTTCAACTATTGTAATCAAGACAATAACTACCAAGATACTTCACACATGTTCTCTCCTTTTGGCGAAAAGCTTAGGGGGCGGTGTTCCCCCCGCTTCCCCTACAATTTGCAGTGCCTACGTTTTAGAGATCGCACGACAAAACACATGCCATCAGCGCATTGCTGATCTTAACTTACATTTGGTGGGCACATTTCCTGTTGGAAAATCTGAACATTAAATTTGGACATTTTTCGACCACACCGTGACCAGACCCTTATTAGGTATAACTTGCTGCAAATGACTTCGCGGATGGTACACACGACACTATTTTCGAACTATGTGTCCAAAATGGACCATAAAACATATGTATGTCACATGACCTAAGTCTGGAAACTTCCGTGACTATTGTGACCTAGTCTGACATTCCTTTGACCTGAAACATACTAAGAACAAGCTCGGTACCCGCAAGATATATTCAGCATACATTTACGAGTGTGTAAAGCAAACATGAGCTGAATGTGACTTAGGGGAGAGTGGAGTGGGTTGTATCAGTTTTTACTCCGAGACCCATAACCTCGTAACTATCCGTGATAAACTCATTATTTCCATGCTATCTCCTTCCTTGATTCTTCTGCTTTTTTTGTGCAAAGTAACTTTTCCGCTACCTCTACCAGTTTTTCTTCTACGGTCTGCCAAATAGAACAATGTTTTTGATACAACTTGCCCCATGGCTTGGGTGAGTTGTATCACATGGTGGGGTAATTTGTATCACTATTTCACGTTTCATGGAGTGTGCTTGCTACTGGTTTTAAACATAGCAACAACATTAAATGGGGTCAATACAATGTATATGCTCAAAGGCTTCACTTTTATTAGACCAAACTTACGTTGATCCGAACGAAACATCGAAACGAACGAAACATCAACAGACTAGACGCAAAAGTGGCCCGTTAACCCGGCAGTTGCTGGGGTATTTCGCCACCCACCGTTTGCTGGGGGGGGGGGGGCGTTAAACGCCCCCAGCCGATAACTCGAGAACCAATAGGCGCAGCGAAACGCACGAGGCGGCAAACGAAAGAACGCGACGAGACGCTTCAGATGAGTACTTTAAAGTTGAATTTTGAGGTCACAGGTCAGGTCAAGGTCAGGTCAAACACCTGAAATCGGGCTTTCAGTAGCATGGACTTCAGGACTTCGCAATGGGCGCCTCTCGTCATAAACTCTGTCAAAACGGTGCACAATCCATCATATAAGGCCTACAAGAGTGTCAGCTCCATGCAGGGGTCAGTCAAGCATAGGTCAGGGTCAAGGTCAGGTCAACCGGACAGGCACATATCCCCGAAAATCAAAACTGATATTCGCAGCCTGTGACACATGTTTTATGGGTAATTTGGGGCGTAGAACACGATGGTGACATTCATTTTATCATATGTGTACGTGTTTGGCTAAAAAAGTTCAATTTAAGAAATTCATGTATCATGGTCGTGAAGTAGTCACGAGAAATTGCCAAGATTCAGTTCAAGATTTTGGAAAATGCGGAACGATAATCAATAATCGAAGATAGCCATTTGATTCTCCATGGTATTGGCAGTCTAATGGCGTTTACGGCATGTCTATATGTCTATTCTGTGATTTTATATGATTTTTTGAACATATGCCGTTTTTGGTCGAAAACTCAGAAATCATGACGTCACTAAAACCTCGATATCTCAAAAATTTTCCGACCGATTTTTTTGAAACTTTGTCACAATAAACTTCAATCAATTCCCTACAGGTACCCAAAATTTGGCGCGCCTGCGGCGCGCCGTTTTTATGCTATGGCCCGGAGAAAAAAGTGGGGGCGTTTAACGCCCCCCCCCCAGCAACTCGCGGGTTAAGAGCAAAGAAGCCAACACATTGTGCCGAAATGGGACGAGTATTGACTAGCTACCTACAAACGCGAGCCAGGGCTTAGCTTTCGCGATCAAAAGCAACATACCCATACATACATACATACATACATACATGTTACAACATACCCCACCCGGCTCTGATACAACATGTACCTCGCCGCCATCTTGGAAAAAACATCCTCGTGCTCAAAAACAGCGGACATCCATTTTCACTCACGCAGCCTTAGAACCTACCATCACCACCGCTACGGAGATCTTTCAAATTCGTGTACTTCTAAATGCCCAAAACACACATTTTCTTGCAACTTATTTTTTTTAGAATGACATTAAAAAAACATAAAATCGGCTCTCACCTCGAGACGCGTCCACCCAGCCACACGACAGAACAGGGAAAGATGGCGCCCGGAAAACCTCGTCGGCTGGTCGTGTCACAAGCGCCATCTATTGGATAAGTTTGGCACAATTCGCCCTGATACAACTTGGACATGATACAACTCTCCCCGCTCTCCCCTACCTACCCATTTAGCGGCGGCCATAGTCCGAACTGTGAGCATGTGGCTGATTTTTACCACCAACGTTTCTATTGCAATCCACCACAACTTTTGTTCTTTTTTCAGGGCTTCACGATTGTCTACATATACCATTCACTGGTATCAGTGAAGTGCTACGACGTCAAGACGAGGATTCCCATGACGAGTGATTCAACGCCGATCGATCAGTTCAGTGTAACGCCAACTCTCCACAACCTTGCCAACAATGACAACTCAAAGTAGGATCTCACACCACTGGTGGCGGCGCTCCATGAAGGCGTTAATAGCCATCTCCACGATCATCATGCTCTACATGGCGTCTGGTCGGCTGGCTCGTGAGGCCTCCCCTTGGGCCTACCCGTCCTTCAGCGCCGACCACTGTTCCGACAACCTTCTGGGAAGGCGGCTGTTTGCCGGTTCGTGTCCTCATGAGCCGATCGACGCCGTCTACACCTGGGTCAACGGCTCGGACCCGGAGTTTCGGCGGCAGCTGTCGGAGACGTTGGTCCACCTGGGGCACCCGCCGGCCAACGAATCGGTTAACGACAGCAGGTTTGCTGACAACGAAGAACTGCGATACTCTCTTCGATCTCTGGAGCAGCACGCGCCGTGGGTGCGACGCGTTTACCTGGTCACCAACGGACAGGTACCCGCCTGGCTGGACCTGGACAACCCACGCATCACCGTCGTCACGCATGAGGAGATATTCCCCAACAAGTCGCACCTGCCCACCTTCTCCAGTTCAGCGATCGAGTCTCATCTGCATCGCATCAAAGGCCTCTCAGAACACTTCCTCTTCTTCAACGACGACTTTTTCCTCGGCCAGCCAGTGGTCCTGGAGGATTTCGTGTCTCCCAGAGGCGAGTACCTCACCTTCTTATGGCCGTCGCGGGGAGGCGCCTTCAACCAGTCGTCCGCCCACTCATGTAGCCTCACACACGTGGACCGTCTCTTCACGCAGCGTTACGGACCCGAGGAGCGCCGCGCCGCTGCACACGTACCGCTCCTCCTGAAGCGCTCGATCGTCGCAGAGTTGCAGACGACGTTTGCAGCCGAGTACGAACATACCTCCGCGGCGCACGTGCGCACCAACGACTACATGCAAACGAGCTTCACGTATTCCTACTTTCTGCGCTCAGAGCGGCATCGGGTGTCGTCAGGCAGATTGTTCGAGATGTTTGACACAGACCGCTCCGGCACCTTGTCTGAGCGCGAGCTTCTCTCGGTGATGAGTGGTCTTCTAGGACGCTCCTACTCCGTGCGTGATGCCCGCCTGCTCTGGGACGAGTTGAGGAGGTGTGCCGCGGCTGGCGATACGCCCACAGACAGCAGCGCCGAGCTGAACCGGTCAGCCGTGCTTGGCTGCACGACGGCCACCACTCGCCTGTCGCAGCGCATTGGCGAGCGTCGGTACCGCACCCGCGACGGCGCGCGCAGTGCCTGGTTCTACCTGAAAGTACCGTCCCGGCCACAAGTCGTCAAGAGGCGTTTCACTGAAGTTCTAGCCAATCCACGCCGATTCATATGTTTAAACAACAACTTTTCTGACAGCACAGCGGGGCGGATCAAGTTCGTGCGCGATATGCTGGGGCAACTGCTCGAGAGACTCTTTCCCTGGCCTTCCCAGTTCGAGCTGACGTCGAACCGACGGTAATATGTGTTACTAGCTGGTGCTGCTTGGCTGGTGTCAGAAATAACTGTTTTTTATGTTTGGTATTGATGTGATCAAGACCCGTGCCCCCCCCCCCCCCAATATCATTTTAAGGAGAAAAATATATGCACGAATTTGACAGCTTTTTATAAGGAGGTCATTCGGAAACATCTTATTGAATTAATTAATGCCTGACATGCAATAAGTAACTACTAGATATTTAACTTCATTTTATTTATTCACTACATCAGCCGTGGGACATGCTCATTTATGGCAAAAGTCAGCTTAGGAAAATGCAGTCTTGATAAAATTAGCTTTATTGCTAAAGTACGAATAAAGTTAACATGTGTGAGCATGCTAAATCGTCTCAAACACTAGAAGAAACGTCAGTTGTCACATAGGTATGTACAGGTCACCGCTGAAGTAATGTGCGGTATCCGTGGTGGCTAGGGTTTGCATCTGTATCTTAGGACCTATTTTGTACGACTGCCATGAAACTTGAAATGTGGCTTACAAGTGCCGAGATCTTTTCAGCTGCAATCTCATCTTTTGCTGTCTACCTCTGGATCACTCCATATTTTAAACTCTTCGGTCAAAGCCATCTGTGGAGGAGATTCGTAACTAAATTCCTGATAACGCCACTGATGCCCTAACCACGTGATTCGGCAGCGAACCAATTACCGTTCTTGTAGACAGCATGAATGGTGCCAGGTGCCCTTGCGTCGAGGCTAGCGCTTCTTGGTTGTGGCGTGACCGAGAGTCGGGTCGCAGAGCGAGGTCAGTGGGGTCAGCCTCGTCAACCACCTCCGGGCTATCGGTGCGCTGGGCAGGGCGGGTCTGGGCAGACCCTCTGCGCCACCGAGCATGTTGATAGTTCTTTTTGGGTCAATATGGAATGCATTCATGGCTGTGCTATTCACTATGTCGTATAAATGAAAGGGCAGGGCGTATAAATGCATAGCCACCACAGGACAGCAGCTGTTTTCACACGGTACATATCGGTTCTGACAAGGTCACATCAATAACGACTCACAAGCCAGTTATGGCGTCGAATGAGTTATCTAATGATTATAGGATGAATAATGGGACCCATTAACATAATAAGGAATTTAAAGATTTCGATACACATACACATGATAGAGTAACTAAGTAATCTTGATATGTTTGGCCAATAACTGATGACTGGTACCGAATGTCGATGATATTCAAAGTGCATATAAGATCTAACAGTCAGTGGAGAACGAAAAGATCCGATTGGAATCGAACCCGAACCATCCCGAACAATAGCCTGACGCTAAACCACCCCACCAAGAAGACAATTTCAAACCGTAAGCAGAGTCGCTATGTGGTGAGCGATTTAATCAGCATGACATGAGCATGACGCCTACGGCGTGACGTCCTGTAAATGCAGGGGAAGGGTCGAGGAGAGGCCGGTTGGCGGTCGCCGTCCTTTGCGATTGTAATAGACGAAAGCCGTCCTACCCGCAGAAGATGAATTTGTTAAAATTGCAAAGCGGCAATTTCATCAGAACATGAGTGGCGCTGATCATTCAGGTTTTTCATTTTGTATCCCGATACGCTGTGACTGTAAGCGGGACAATGACCAATTGCAATTATTAAAGATATGAAAGTGTGACTGCAGTTGTATTGGACCTGTGCTATGAAAGCTATGAAAATCATTGGTTTCTTTACTTTATAGTTATATGCTTCAACGTTCTTTCTTCTTTATTTTATTGAATCCGAGCGAACGGTAGAAAACAAATATGCTGTGTCATTCACTGGCCATTTGATTAAAAAACTAATTGGATGCAGGCGCGCACACAGGATTTTTGAATGGGGGGGGGGGGGGCACAACCTTCGATCTGGGCCCCCCATGCCGAAGGCCCCCCCCCCAAAAAAAAAAATACGGCCCACGGGGCTATATTTCGGTTGGTTTGAAGCTTGAGCAATTAGTTTGTCAATGCATGGTAGGTAAAACAATTATTTCGGTACCAGCTTAATTTTCAAAACATACATATTTTTACGCTAGCATGTTTTTTTAGCATGTTTTTTTTTCGCGGACCCAGGGCCCGCGAGTCACCCGGGGGCCCGGGGTCAGCTCAGGCAAGGATGTATCCAGGACCTCTCGATGGGAGGAGGGAGGCACGGTGGGTCCAGTCTCACTGGCAGACGGGTCTCTTTAAAACGGTCTTTGCATGAGAAAATGTGGAAAATCGGCAAGCAAAAGTATCATTTATGCCCGAGGAGTGTGCCTAATGTACACTAATGCCTAATTTACATGATATTTTACGAGCGAGCGAAGCGAGCGAGCTCCTCAGAGTCACCGGTGTGTGGCGCGCTCAGAGGTGCCGGTAAAAGGCCGTCAGATGCGCTGGTGTTGGGTCCTCACAGGCGCCGTTGCGGGGTCTTAGGGCTTAGAGACACTGGTGGGGCCATCATTGGCATGTGTGTTGCCCTGCAAAATGGCCTGCAAGTGGAAAGTGGCCCGTCATAGGCTGGCAAGGACACTCGGAGGCTGGTAAGAGGCCCTCAGAGTCACTGGTACGTGGCCCTCAGAGGCGTCGGTGTGGGGACTCTCAGAGCCGCCGATGTAGGCCCTTAAGATGCGCTGGTGGGGGTCCCTTGGAGGTGGGGCAAGGGGCCTCGCAGTTGCCGTTGTGGGTGCCTTTAGAAACGCTGGTGTGGACCGTGTGTCTATCACAGACGGATGTGGAGCCATAGCAGCCAATCCCTCGTTGGTCGTTACTAGGGCCCTGAGCGGCCGGCGAGGTCTCTCAGAAACCGGCATTGGGCCTTTATGAAGATAATTGTGGCTACATAGGAGCCAATAACGTGCCCCCACAAGTCCTGTGGTGTCCTTCCGAGTTGAAGTGCGGCCAGCGCGAACCCTCTGCTACCAACTGGCGCCGCAGGGCCCCTCGGTTTCGAAGGAACCCTAAACCCGAGAACGGGCACTTCCCCCTCGCTCCCTTGCTATGTCACTGAATCCAAGTGATTAAGGACCCTTTAGGTAATCAGGGGCGTTTCAGATGACCAGGGGTTTTCAATTGATCAGGGGCCCACCAGGTAACCATGGGCCCCTCTGGTAACCAGGCGCCCCTTAAGTAACCAGGGACCCCATCAATAACCAGGGCCCCTCAGTAAACGGGGGCCACTCAGGTAAGTGTAGGAGTCCTGCAGATAACCAGGGCCGGCAAGGTTTCTCAGGTCCGTTTTTTGACAAGGCTCTTATTGACTCAGGTGCGAGCCCTTTGCCATCAGCAGAGGGCCCTTTCAAGCCTTTTGAGGGCCGTTTAACGTCTCTTGAGTTCCCATTGAGGCCTTCTAAGGGCCCTTTGAGCAGTCGAGGAGCCTTTGAGGCCTTTTGAGGGCCTCTTGACGTCAGCTGAGGACCGTTGGACGCCAGCTGAGGATCGTGTTTTTGGGCCTTCTGATGGCCATTAGACGCCAATGGATGACCCTCTGACACCAACTGGGGCCATCTGACACCAGCTAAGGGCACTTTAAATTTGACGCTAGCTCAGGGCCCTCTGGCATTAGCTGGGGGCCCTCTGACGCTAGCTCAAGGCCCTTTGACGCTCTTTAAGGCCTTCTGAGGGCCCTTGAGGTCTTCTAAGGGCCCCTTGAGGCTTTCTAAGGGCCCCTTGAGGCTTTTTGAGGGCCGCTTAACGCCAGCTGAGGACCGTTTGAGGCCTTCTGATGGCCATTTGGCGCCAGCTGGGGGCCATCTGGCACCAGCTGGGGGCCCTCTGTCACCAGCAAAGGACCCTTTAGAGCCTTCGGAGAGCCGTTTGACGCAAGGGCATGGCCCTCTGACGCCAGCTCAGGGACCTTTGACACCCTTTAAGGCCTTCTGACGTCCGTTTGACTTTAGCTGAGGGCCCTTTGAGGCTATCTGAGGGCCCTTTAAGGCCATCTAAGAGTCCTTTGAGGTCATCTGAGGGCTCCTTAAGGCCATCTGAGGGCCCTTTGACACCATCTAAGGGCCCTTTGACACCAGATGAGGGCCCTATGACGCTAACTGAGGGCCCTTCGAGGCTATCTGAGGGCCTTTTGAGACCATCTGAGGGCCCTTTAAGGCCATTTGAGGGCCCTTTGTACACGGTCTTCGGTGGTCTAAGGATTAGTTAGAGGCCCATTTGAGGCGGCCTTCGGCCGCCTCAAATGGGCCCCTTCCTTCGAGTTGGGCCCCCCAACTCGAATTGGGGGGCACGGGCCCGTGTGCCCCCCCCCCCTTGTGTGCGCCCTTGATTGGATGCCGATTGCCGAATTCCCCCCCCCCCATCAACTGGCAATATCGTCTAGATGGCAGGGTTGTGCTCGACTAAAAAAAATTGCCGACTCGACTCATCATTCAACTTCAGAAAGCCCTCACTCAACTCTGACTCAAACAATTGGAGCTGATTTTTTCCCTTGACTCGACTCATGACTCAAGCGGCTCAATGAAAATATGAGTTGACTCAAACTTGACTCGAATTTTTTGTTGAGTCAAGTGTGTTGACTCAAAATTGACTCAGATAAAAAAGTTGTTGAGCGGGGCGGGGGTGAAAAAAAAAATCCGGCAGCAGGGCCAGGCCTAAGTTGTTCTGCGGGGGGAGAATGAAAAGCTTTTTTTTTAATAACAACCAAAATATTTATTAGAAACAAACATTTTGATTTACCAACATACAGGTTACAACGGAATTGGTGACCTGACCTTTGACCTGACCAAAAAATTGACCAAAGTGTTTCGTCATTATTTTTGGCGTTCTTTCGAACGCCGCCTTCCGCGTATCGCTACGTGGCACAGGAGCCGAGTTAGAAGGGGGGGGGGGGTGTTCAGACACCCCCCCAGCAGGGCGTGGAAATCCAGGACCCCCAGCCGGGCGCGGGTTAAAGAGGAGGGCGCGGACAGGTGAGGAAGGCGATGTACGGTCAGAAGGCCGCCTACAGCTCAGAAGGACCCTCTACGGTGAAAAGGGCACCGACTTGTCAGGAGGGCGCTAAACGCAGAGGGCGCCGGTCTGGAGGGCGTTGTATGGTTAGGAGGCCGTTATACAGTGAGGAGGCCGGCGACAGTTCAGGAGGGCGCTGTACGGTGAGGAGGGCGCTATAATACGATAAGGAGGGAGCTGACAGGTCAGGAGAGCGCCGACAAGT